TTATGAAGGGCTAGGTTGGTTAGAACCCCAAGTGCAGAACTGAAATGATCATGGCAAAAAAAGATACAAAAGTGCTTTATTAAACAAAATTAAAAAACTGGCGTGGCAGCAAACAAGATACTTAGGTATAGCTTGAGATAATGACATGAACAGGAACAACATAACAGAGAACAAAGACCTGACAAAGACTGAAGACAGAGAATAGAATATAAAGGAGAAACTAATGAGTACAAACAGGAAACACCTGGGGGAGAAACATGAGGATCAGGTGTGAGTGGGCGGAGCTGGAGCACAAGCAGAGAGGAGGAAGAAAACAGATGACGACAGAAAACAAACATTAACACAGACACAAATCATAACAATTATTCCTTCATTCGTGAACAGGACCCCGAGATACTTAAACTCCTCCACTTGGGGCAGGACCTCTTCCCCAACCCGGAGAAGGCACTCTACCATTTTCCGGCTCAAGACCATGGTCTCGGATTTGGAGGACTGACCCTCATCCCAGCCGCTTCACACTCGGCTGCGAACTGCTCCAGTGAGAGGTGGAGATCACGATCTGATTAAGCCAATAGGACCACATCACCCGCAAAAGCAGAGATGTGATCCTAAGATCACCAAAAAGGATCCCCTCAACACCTTGGCTGCTCCTAGAAATTCTGTTCATAAAAGTTATGAACAGAATCAGTGACAAAGGGCAATCTTAGCAGAGTCCAACTTTCACCGGTAACAAGTTCGACTTACTACCGGCAATGCGGACCAAGCTCTGGCACCGGTCGTACAGGGACCTAACAGCCCATATTAATGGGCCTGGTACCCCATACTCCTGGAGTACCCCCCACAGGAGTCCCTGAGGGACACGGTCGAACGCCTTCTCCAAATCCACAAAACACATGTAGACTGGTTGGACTCCCATGCACCCTCCAGGACCCTGCTGAGGGTGTAGAGCTGGTCCAGTGTTCCACGACCAGGAACAAAACCACACTGCTCTTCCTGAATTCGAGATTTGACTATCTGACGGACCCTCCTCTCCAGAACCCTTGAATAGACCTTACCAGGGAGACTCAGAAGTGTGATCCCCCTATAGTTGGAACACACTCTGTGGTCCCCCTTTTTAAATAGGGGGACCACCACCCCGGTCTGCCAATCCAGGAGAACTGCCCCCTTGATGTCCACGCAATATTGTAGAGTCACGTCAAACAAAGCAAACCCCACAACATCCAGAGCCTTAAGTAACTCCAGGCAAATATCATCCACCCCCGGCACCCTGCCACCAAGGAGTTTTTTAACCACCTCAGTGACCTCGACACCAGAGATTGGAGAGTCCGACCCAGGGTCCTTAGGCTCTGCTTCCTCATGGGAAGATGTGCCGGTAGGATTGAGGAGGTCTTCGAAGTATTCCGACCCACAACATCCTGAGTTGAGGTCAGCAGCGCACCATCCCCACCATAAATAGTGTTGGTGGCTAACCGCTTTCCTCTGGATCATGGACCAGAATTGCCTCAAAGCCATACAGAGGTCTTTTGCCATGGCCTCTCCAAACTCCTCCCACACCTGAATTTTTGCCTCAGCAACCACTCGAGCTGCAATCTGCTTGGACTTCCGATACCTATCGGCTGCAAATTAAAATGGCCCATTGACCAAAGCTTACTGTTTCCTCTGTGTCCCCTGGTCTTCTTTGCAGGTCTGTCCTCAGTGATAGACCTGTCCAGTTTCCAGGTGTTGTTCATGGTAGAAGGATCTCAACACTGATCTCTGTGAACCAGATTGTGTAGCATGGAGCACTCTCCTGACAGTGACTTCTGATCCTGAGGTCCAGCTTCCTCACAGAACTAAACTTTTAAGCTACTTTTGACATAGATACTGTTCAATGTTTCCTTCAGACTCACTGTCCCACATTTAAACCAGCTTTGCTGACAAAATGTTCACACTTTACTTTAATCTTTTATTTCATTGTTACATCTCATGCATTATTATTGTTGCTTGCTGTGTGACAAGTAATTATAACAACGATTATAAACATCTTGTTTTGATAGTTTTGTGAGGATCTGATGTCTTGTGCTCTGTCTCCCTCTGGTGCCATCTTGTGTTTCTCATGCTCATCTCGTTCCTCAGTCTGTTCCAGTTCTTTCCTGATCATTCTCACTCACCTCTCTGTACTTTGTCACCTCCCAGCTGTCTCCACGTTCCACTTAACCTGTTGCTTTATTATTGGCTCATTTTCTCCACTTCCTCGTCCGTTCCTTGTTTGGTCTCATCTTTGTTCCCCACGTGTGCTCAAGAGCTTATTGTTTGTTTTTTTGCCGCCACGTCTGTGTTTTTCTTTAATAAAATGTTTTTTTATTATTATTTTTGAGCCTGTCTGCATTCTGGCTCCACCTCACCACCAAACATTGTCAATTTGAACATATTTATTTCTTTTGATTTTCAGACAAAACAGTTAACTTAAGAAAAAGGCCTTTTTTAAACTGCTAGAGGTATTTTTCAGTTTGAAGAGAAGTTGGAGTGAAGGAGTTATAAAAAAGTGCAGCTCTTCCTTCCTCATCAGCAGAATTCTGACCTGCTTCAGCAACTTCCAGTCTCGGTGGGACTTTCAGACAGCTGACCCCTGGTTGGAGACCAGGGTTCAGAAGCAGGTAGCAACCTGCATGCCAAACTTATGGTCTCCTCTGTTCAAAAGTTTAAAAAAATTAGGACCCAATACCTGAAATTTCCTGTAAGTCCAAAAGTAATGGAAGTGCATTGTAATTGAATGAAATTTATCCGTCCAATGAAATGCTGCGTGTGAGATTCAACATTGATCATAGGAACTGTATTTTCCATCAGTCAGACATTGAAACGATGGACCATCTTTGCGACACAATTTTGGGAGGACTTCCAGGATTGACTTTGTACTAAAATCCAGACACGCTTAGTCTGGGCAACACAATATTTGGGATGACCTTGGAGGACTCACAAATAAACAATGGAAAAATCTAAAGTCTAATTTCATTAGGTTTAAAGACACCTTGTTGAAAATTATCTGCCTTTAAATAAAAGACTTGTATGAAAGCATATTCAATATTAAATGCGTCTGATAACTTGGTAATTAAGATTTCTGATGGTAGTTACACAACTGTCTGAATGTGAGTTTTTTTTTGTTTTCTATTTTGTTTTCTTTTTCTTTTCCCTTTATTCTTTGTTTCACCTTGTGCCTTGAACATGTTTGTTAATCGGTTCAGTTTTGTATTTATAAATGTTCGTACATTTGAACATCTACAATAAAACCAAGGGCATGAGAAATTGCAGTTCTTTATCTTCAATTTAAATGTTTCATTAACAGGCAAAAAACATGAAAGAGTTAATGCCCTTCTACAAATATAAAAAAATTAGATGCATTTACTGGATGTAACTGGATGTTAAGTTTCTTGCCCTACCCAAGACTAAAGAGGTCCATTTCTAACATAATAAATAATATTTATCTCTGTAGCTTGAATCTCAAAGGCATTTTTCTCTGTCAAAATATAATTGAACATGTCTTGAATTGTTCTTCTGACTATAGTCAAATGCAAATGCAGAGGTATTTTAAATTACCATTCAGTATAGCCAAAATGTAGTTAAACTTATTTTCAGATATTTAGAATTTTTAAATGCAGGGGGTGTTTTTATGGGAAATAGATATTTTGAACTCTATGGCATCTAATAGTGTCGTTCCCCCATCAAAAATATGCCCAGAGTGTTGTTTTGACTCGCTCATGCATGTTTGAGAAATCCTTGAATCTCCTGTGGTCGTCATATGGAGCTGCCTGAACACTTGCTGGTACAAAGCTCCGCCTATTTTTGCAAAGCTCCTCCCTGGAGGAGCTCAGTCTGCAGCTGAGCTCCCATCCACAGAACACCCCTCCTGAAGCATTGTTGTGAAGATGTGCTGAAGTGGAAGTGTCTGAAATGGTACGAGGCTGTGGCTCTTAAAGAGACAGAGACCAAGGCATTTAGATAGAYTATGCAAAATCAAATTTATTTTGATATATGCAGCATTTTCATAACAACTGTAACAACTGGAGATAAAATAGTTAATTGGTTGTGGTGTAGAACTGAACTATGTGCCTGAAAAATACCCTCACCCACCTACCCCGCTGCCCTTTAATTTATTTTATGAATTCAAAAACACAATAAAACAAGGTATAATTCACATACAAGGCTATACAGTTTAACATAAAACTGAGCGGAAAATTGAGTTATGGAACAATATAATAAAGAGAAAAAGAAGACAATAACAGTGCTTAATAAAAATTTTAAAAATTATCACAAGAGGACTTTTAGTTATTTGGTTATATTGTCAATGTATTGGTGCAATAATTGAGCTTCATTGTTGTTACACCGTGCCAGAACTTCCTTAAATGAAACAACTTTCTTTAGAGAGATTTTAAATAATTGGGTGATTTTTAAAAACCGGCATTTGTGTGTGAAAAATTTAGTTAAAAGGATTAAATTGTTATTACCCTAAATTGTTTCTCTATCCCCTGTTGCTATCAAAACTTAGGGGTGGAATAGATTTTTTTTTTTTTATCCAGGATCCAGTCTTGAAAGTTTTTCAAAAAAAAAAAATACGTTTATATCTTTACAGTGAAAAAAGAGGTGTTCTGCAGTCTCAATATCTGATTCACAGAACACACAGTAATTGGTCGTGTTGAATTCCTTTTGTAAAAAGTCCTTACAAGATATTTATCATATATTAGTTTGAAGTGTACTTCTTTTACTTTTTGTGGGAGTGGAAAAGAATTTGGTTCAAATTTTTTAGAGAGATCATCATAGTTTTTAACCAAATATTGTCTTCTTGATGGGAAAACAATAGAAGTCAGAGTATTTCTTATTTTTTTTTTTTTTTACATTTTTTCCTTTAAGTCAAGTGCCCTTTAATTAGAGGTGTCAGACGAACCCGATATTATGCTAAAATAGCTTGCCATACCTACCGAAGGAGGAGGAGCTCATCCTGTAGTGACACATCATCTGTCGTCACTTCCGCACATGCGCACTGAGTGGGAAGGTTTAATGAACAGCGAGCTGAAAGGTAGGAAAAAAAAAGAAGGAAATTGACCAGAGAAAGTGAAGATAGTATGTATAAGCCTTCCTAAATCGACTCAAATTAAAGGTAGATTAAGTGGAAGGATCAGAGAGCAGCAGGACAGACGGTTTTTAACCAAGAGGTGTCTCAGATACGGAGCTGCTGTCCGAGTCATCTTTTTCTGCCGTAGTACAGGAAGGACGAGTCCACTCACCAACAAAACACGTCTACAGTGAAAAATGAATCCTGAATAGTAAGTTTTACTTTAAATGCTCAATAACAACGTTGCTCCTGTTCTGTGTGTTTATAAAGTGTTTTACTCATGTGAGTCATGCTGCGCAGACAGCTGATTTATTCATGTAAATAACAAAATGGTTTGCTCCAAACGTCAACTCAGCTGACGACTTCTCCTTCTCCTCCGTGTCCTTTTTGGTCCAATATCAGAACCTTTCACCTGATTACACTGGTTCCGAGGAGCTGCTGCAGACTGTTTACCTCAGCAGGTCCGGTATTAAACCGAGGGTTAGCTCCACCGACACCAGCTGCTCGGGTTTAGTTTGAGTTTCACATTGAAGTTTTTATTTTCTTACACATTGTTCACACGGACTGCTTTATTTCATTTAATAACTAAAAGCCAGATATTAGCTGGAGGAAATGCATATATGCTATAGTTTTATCGTCTTATGTTAAATGAAAGTTGTATCCGGTTTAGTCAAACCCAGAATCTCGTGAAATATCGCGAGATGTCACTTTCAGTGTTTGTTACTTGCAACTACCTCAAATTAACTTCTAGCACCTTATTATTGTTGTTTTAACTGGAGATAACACGCATCTCAGAGGTGCACACAGTCACCCAGCCATGTGTGTAACTCCACACATTAAATCCTGTTGTTCAGTGTTGTGTGTCAATATGTAAACAACTCTTCTCTGATTGGATGGTTTCCCTCTTTGTTTCCTTCTGTTCCCTGAATTCCTTCTAGACTCTTCCTTTCCTGATGTTTACCCCAGCCTCTCTCTTTCAGCTGCATGTAGTTCGTAAAACTTGTTCCACAAACAATTCTTTTCACTTTTTTTTTTAGCTAACAGACACAGGCAGAAAGATTATTGCCCATCTTTGCTGTGGGGCCTGAAACAGATGTGGCTGAAATGTAACAGTTTGATCCTTCAGCTGGAGCATAATATGCAAGTCATGTTATTATAGTGGACGATTATGGCTGAAAAATAATGCGTTTCATGTCAGTTTCTTTTTTTATTTTGAAGCAGTTCTGAAGCAGGTGGTGAAACATGAAACTGCTGCTTGTTACTCAGCAGCTTGGTGTTAGCTGACCATAGAGTGAGAGAGTTAGTTGATTGAAACTTGATTATCTGGACCAGAATGTCGTGTGGTTCTGGATCAAAGTTTAGTGAGATGATCATCGTTCTATCAGACGTATTTTATAATGATATTGATCTCGTGTCTTCGTGGTAAGTCTCATTTTCCCTGGGTGTGAGTGAGAGTATGAATGGTTGTTTGTCTCAGTTGTCTCTCTGTGTCCCTGTGATGGACTGGAGACCTGTCCAGGGTGTGCCCTGCCCCTCACTCACACTGTCACTGCTGGATAGGATCACAGTGACCCTGAAAGGAAGAAGCAGATATAATGGATGGATAATTGCCCAGCCCTGTGTTGCTCTGAGCAAACATCACTTCAGTCTTGTTTGTTAGCTTCTAAAGTCCACTTGTTTTATTTGTTGCTCTTTTCCACTGCAACATCTTGCAGTAAACACTTCTCATTTGTGCATTTATTATTGATGGGCAGCTGAAGCTTTCCTTCTAATTTAACAGAAAAAGGCAGACAAGGACCTCTGGTGGCCAACTGAAGCCAAAGCAAGAGCAGGGCTGAAGCTTGGACACAGTTTTAATCCCAAGCCAGCAATAAACCTTTGTATGAATAAATGATTATCATTACATATTAAAATTAATTAAACGATTGTTAGAAGATATCAGATATGGCACCAGGACTACAACTAAATTATTTGTTAACAGGAGTGAGACATTTATTTTAAATGCTCACACACTTACCCTGGGGCATCTATGGTGGAGGGGGTGGGGGGGTCCTGTAACCAGTGGGCTGCTGGTTCAATCCCCAATTCCAGCCWTCTCAGTTGTTGTGTCCTTGGGCCAGACACTTCATCCACCTTCCCTGTCTGTCCCAGTGCAGCTGTTACCATCAGTGTGTGAATGAATGATGCATGGAATTGTAAAACATGTTTGAGGGCCTTGAAAAGCCCTACATAAGACTATATTATTATTGTTATTATTATTATTATTACTATTATTATTATTATTACGCAGTAATTCATTTCAGATTAAAAACAAAATAAGTATAAATTACAGAATACGGTGGTAAAATGTTACTTCAGGTATTTTATAAAGTTTTATTTAAATGCTCTGAACTAATGAAATACTTCAAAACGTTTTGAACCAGTGAAGCAGTAATGATGTTGGAAACTTGATCTGGTTCTTTTTTTTTTTAAGTTAAATGTGTTTCAGTAAAACAAAACAACGATTAAAAGATATGTGCTGTGGGTGCTAACAAACCAGATGGAGGCAAAGTGTGCTGATTGAAATTATGATTATTTTAGAGCTTTTTAAAAAAATGTACTGTAAATATTAATTTACTGCTGTTTCAGCAAAATGTTGTTTCGAAACAAGTTACGATTGTATTATTGAAAGTTGTCAAATTGTACCTAAAGTGTATATTAGTCCTTCACTTGAATTTTATTACTTTTGGGGGGGGGGGGGATCATTTGAGTGTGGATTATTGAATTTACAGGTTGTTCTTGAATGCACCAAGAAGTTTTCATGTCTTGTCATGAAAATCTAAATATTTTTCAGCTAATGTGGCTTTATGCATAGATGGAATCTAACTAACTTTTTCTGTCTCTGTGGTGGTAAATACATACCTGGACAAACACAACTGTTTTTATCAGAAACTGCATTCATGTGTGCAGAAAACAGAAACTGAAATTGGTCAGAAGGGTTGTGTGTCTGTGAGATGAACAGTCCTGTCTCCACTCAAACTGCAAACCAAACAGGATTAAATGTCCCATCATGTCAGGGATGCTCTGGAGTCCTTTTCACCTTTCACCACCTTTGTATTCAGTTCCATTGCTGGACTTTTTTTTAATGTTTAATATAATTTTGTTCTCTGAAAGTTCGCCTTCAAAACAGTGATGCTAACAGCTGTTCACCACAGTTATGTCTGCTATAAGTGCTTTGAACACCAAGAACCAACAATATCACAGGACAGCCCACAGGCCTTCCTAAAAGCTTGGCTAAACATTTATGGTCTCAACTCTGTGATTAGTTAATTTATTAAACAATGTTCTTCTGAAAAACCTTTGACTCAACTGTGCCTTCATCACAGTGAAGTCCTGACCAATGAGGAGAAAAACCTGACTTTATTTTCATGAATTTAAAATAGTTTCATTCTCAACTGCAAAGTCTTAAACAGAAAATAAAAGGAAATTGGTTAAAAATGATAAGAAAGTACAGTGAAAATCTATATTTCTTCTCTGAAGGCCCAGCAGGCCCTCAGGGGTGCCCCTCTGGTAGATAAACACTAGTAAGGAAGTTTCAGATTTGCCTCCTGCCTGAGGTCTTTCTGAGTTGAATTGACATGTTCTCCTCATGCAGCGTGAGTTTTTATACTCCAGTTTCCTCCCACTGACCAAAAACATGCACGTTGGGTTATTTGAAAACTTTAAATTGTCACTATAACGTTTAAAACAACTTATGAAAAATATTTATGACTAAATAACATATAAACATTTGATCTAATAGTTAGCACTGCAGTATGTATGCATCCAAAAGAGGCTTCCAGTTGATTTTTGTATTCAGTCTTCAGTGCAGACATCTTCAAAGTCAGACAAGTTATCTAATTAGTCATAGTGTGACAGGGCCTTCATTAAGAGTGTGTGTGATTGGTTGTTTGTTTGTGTGTGTGTGTGTGTGCGCGTGTGTGTGCGTGTGTGTGTGGAGAGAGAGCAGCGCAGCAGTCAGCTCTCCCCACCCGAGGCTGAAGGTCAACAGACGATCATGCTAAGCTTGCTAACTGTTCCACCCTCTGACTGCTGCAGGGGCGTGTCTTAGAGAGAGGCTTTTATACCAGAACACAGCCGCTGTGACGAAACTGTGGAGAGCCGTTAACCAATATGCAAATTAGCCTGCAGTACCACTGCTCTACCCATATGAGCAGCAAAAACACCTTTTTAGACCAAATATTACAGATTTGAACAAATACACACAAAAACATCAAAATTAGCACAGAAACAGTACTATATAACATTTTAGACACATTCTAGACAGTTTATCAGCTAAAAAAAGTTAATTTTGGGGTAAGTTACTCTTTAAACTGGCAGACTGACAGACAAGATTTAAGACACTCAATGATGACAGGATATCCAGTATATATTTTTTATTTTTCTACCTGGTTTACTGAAATTCATTAGGACAGATTACAGAATACATTTAACATGTCCCTATAAGGTTAAATTATTTCAAACTTTTTCAGGAGTACCATCCTTTCTGTCAAGGCCAGTTTCATTAGTTTACTTACCTGAATAATTCTGATTTAGTCAGGTTTTTTTTCTGTTTTAAAACTTTTGTCAGTTTCAAATTATTTCAGTAACTTTTTTTTTTATGAGGGAACACACACATCTGTCTGGGTCTGAATAAATATTAAGTGTGTAACAGTAGGACACAATATATCAAAAATTTATCGTCCTCCCAATAAGAGCCTGTGCAATATGCATGTTGCAAAAAAACTGCATCAACTGCAATAAATGGCTCAAAAGTTTGCATTTATGAGTTCTGTCACTCAGACAGAAGCTTGAAGTTTTTCACCAAACAAATGGAGCCCTTCATGTATTTGACCAGTTGGATGGATCTCTTTATATTTTTAATTCATGCTGAAATGGAAATTATTTGGTTTTTTTTTCTCTGAACCCAGAACAAACATAAACCTTAGATACTTATGTATTTGTTTATTTATCACATCATATTGTCCTCGCAGTATTAAGCACATGACAGGTTTTCCTAACATTCTGCAGCCCTATGTGACAGTCATTGTTTTGTATGGGGTCAGTGCAACAGGATAAATAGATGAATGAATGCATGCATGCATGCATGCATGCATGCATGCATGCATGCATGCATGCGTGCTAGGACAAGACAACCCAACAGCATCCAGGGCCCTGAGGAACTCTGGGTCAGGCAGACCCCCGTAGCCTTCATGAACCTCTGCTCCAGTAATTACACAGCACCAGTCTGGCTTTCTGGCCTTAGCTTCCATAGTGGAATGTGTTTTGTTCAGGTTGAGAATAGCCTCCAACTTAATCCATCCACTGCTTGTTAACATCTTCTGTTGAGGTTAACACCACYTGTCCTCACTAAACAAAACAATAAGTTAATAAGAAGTATGGCTAAAACTTGATCCAGAAATTTCTGCAAAGACAAAATGTTATCAGCTCAGTTACTTAAAGCTGTTCTCTCTTTTCAGTGACTATTTGTTCAAGCTGCTTCTTATTGGAGACTCTGGTGTAGGAAAGTCTTGTCTTCTTCTACGCTTTGCAGTAAGTATTTGTCTCTCTGTGTCACAACCCACTGGCTCAACAGGAAGTAACATACTATGACATACTTCCTGTCATTGCTGCTTGTGTTTTTGAGCGTATAAATGTCTCTGTTCCAGTTAAAACATGCCTTCTCTCCATCTTCTAATAGTCTGAGTTAATCCAGTTGTTTCTTTGCTCCTGCAGGACGACACCTACACAGAGAGCTACATCAGCACCATTGGAGTGGACTTTAAGATTCGGACCATTGAACTGGACGGCAAGACCATCAAACTGCAGATTGTGAGTTCTCACATACAGTCGAGACCAGATGTCTACATACAGGTCCTTCTCAAAAAATTAGCATATTGTGATAAAGTTCATTATTTTCTGTAATGTACTGATAAACATTAAACTTTCATATAGTTTAGATTCATTGCACACCATCTGAAGTAGTTCAAGACTTTTATTGTTTTAAAATTGATGATTTTGGCAAAAAAGTAAAGAAAAATCAAAAATCCCTATCTCAAAAAATGAGCATATTTCATCCAACCAATAAAAGAAAAGAGTTTTTAATAGAAAAAAGTCAACCTTCAAATAATTATGTTCAGTTATTCACTCAATACTTGGTGGGGAATCCTTTTACAGAAATGACTGCTTCAATGC